CTACACCAGCCCCAGCAGCTACTACACCAGCCCCAGCAGCCACTACACCTGCTCCAGCACCGACAACACCAGCTCCAGCAGCTACTACACCAGCCCCAGCAGCTACTACACCAGCCCCAGCAGCCACTACACCAGCTCCAACAGCTAAAGATGCACTTCTTGCAGCACAGCAGTCAAATGGTAAGCTGTGGACTTCAAGTTTTACTTAAAATGATAGACTAATCGATAAACAATGATCACTGTCATCTAAACCAGGTAAACCAGGTTTGAACGAACACTTCTAATTGATAGCAACCAGTCTTTTTAAATTTGCAAAGCAATCTGGGTATATTTTAGGCGCTTCAACATGCGTAGATGCAAATGAAGAAGAATGCAAAAAGAAGTCATCACTTTGTACTAACGCCGCTTACCACGATCTGATGGTGAAGAAATGTCCAGCAACATGCGGTTTCTGCGGGGAAGGTCGTAATTAAGGAAACTTTTAATTAACTGTAATTAGAAGAAAATAACCGGTGTAGTTTAGACTAACTGTAGTCACCGTTATCAGGTTATCACTTTTGTAAACACTGTCGATAAAAAAAGCAAGGATGAAACTGCATGAGACTTATCCACTACCAGTAGCACCACTAATCTTGCAACATACACTTCTGCTATTTGACAGCAGTTCGGCAAAGAAAAATTTTGCCCTTTTCACACAATTTCTGATTTCACCAACTTTTTTCTCGCCTAAAAATAATATTAAAGTCGACAAACAATGATCAAAAAAATTTTTTTAGCATAATTTTTCACAATTATCTTCAATATTCATCACATTTTTAAGACACACCAAATAAAATTCTGCACCATCTCACATATTTGCAATGTTTAGATGCACCGCCATACCAAATCTACTTTATATTTTGCTTGATCTCCCCCTATTTTTCGAGTATCATAGTCACAAACTTCACCAACCTTTCAGCTTATTTCTTTGTTCAATGACTTGAACACTGGCTCAAACTCGACCATAACCAACTAATGAGTGAAATTTAAATTGTTTGCCTGTCACACTCAACGCATTTCACTCTTAATTTTTATAGAATAATTCCATAAATGCTTATTGCATCATAAAATCTTAAAGGCGAACAGGGAATAAACTGGATGTGCCTAAGAGAGAAAACTTCATATGATGAAAGAAAGAAATTCAGTAGAAACCCATAAAGGCTGTTTTCTCTGGTACTCTGACTTTTCAACGTACTTTCCAGCATTTAAAACGCTACTGAAAAGTTACTGAGAATTCGGCCCACCAGGAATCTGTTATCACACAACAATGAGGGTTTTTAAAGGCACTTGATGCAATTTTACACAGAACACTTCGGATAAACTATCCTTACCGTTACAGAAAATGAAATATATCGTTCCTTCTACAGTTTAGAATTTTTAACATTCTCCGTAGTTGCCTTAATGGCTATCGGTGTTTCTTCGTTCCAGCAGCAAAAGCAGAAACCACACAGCCAGCAGCTCCAGCAGTTGCAACAACAGCTGCTAGACCATGTGCTGACTATAATTCAAACGAGTGTCAACAAAAGATAAGCTTATGCAAAAACCAAGTCTACCATGACTTGATGAAAAAGAAATGTCCTGTAACTTGCGGCTTGTGCGGTGAATCACCTGCTGCACCAGTAACTACACCCGCCCAAATCACTGCAGCAGCAGTAACTACAGCCGCTCAAACTACTGCAGCAGCAGTAACTACAGCCGCCCAAACTACTGCAGCACCAACCACTACAAGTAAGTCTTCACTGGTATAGAACGAATTGGACAAAACAGATAAAGTATATCCATTTTGAAAAAACTCTTTTTCCCGCATTGAATCTGTTAAAATTTTAAATTGTGGGAATGCTACAGAAGGAGGTAAGACTTTACAAATCATAACAAATTTGTTTGAAATTTTTAAGAGTATTGTAATTAAGTCTGATATTTACCAATGCTGATAACAGCACTGTAATAATTGAAAGAACTATTTTTTATTGCTTTTCAAATCAAATTATTTAATTCGTAAAAATGAAAAGACAAACTTTCTCAAACTGCTTCAAATATCACTTACTGCCGTGCCGTTGAAGACGTTGATTCCAAATTTAAATACTGCAGATATAACCTAAGCGTAAAATAGTGCCGCAAAACAATTATGTGAAACTGTTCCTAACTTTTCCAGAATTTATGAAAAAACTGAAAACAGTACCTCAAAATTTCTAATAGAAATAAAAAGGTGCAACTTCATATGAGCTATTTTACCTCAAGCTTGCTATACTTATTGAGGTGACCACATATCACTCAAGTACACATGCTATGAAGAAATGTAATACTGAGCAAAAAAGTAAGATAAATTACTGCCGACTGTTCAGAATTAGAATCTTAAGAAGAATACATCCGCACAATCCTACCAAAGGAAAAAGAAAGAAGAGAAAAGAAGTCTAGGTCTTTTTGCCACAAGTTCAAAATGGTTGTTTTCCAAAACATTTAAACCTATCGTATCGATACATTCATATATTGTATTGATTAGATGTTTGCCACTACTTATTTAAAGATGTAACAAGATCAAATAGTCATTAAGTTCAATAATTGCAGCACCGTGCCAGGACGACCCAGCCTCAAAAACGTTGTGTTTCTCAATGAAAGCACTCTGTACCAACCCGAAATTCCAAGCAACAATGGAAAAAATGTGCCCAAAAACCTGTGGAATATGTTAAACAGTTAAACCAACGAATGATTAGAACTTTCTTTACATTTTCATAACTGGCTAATCATGAATTAAATACACGAAGACATATTCACAGCAGTTTTTGCATAATAATAGTCACAAACGAGTAAATAAAGAGTCGAAAACAAATGAGCTGCTAATCGCACCATATAGGCACATATCCTGATTTTATAGGGTGAAATTGTTCTCTTACCTTATGTTTACAGTACGTTTCTTTAGAACTGAAATCTTTTCTAAAATTGCAACTGTTTCTGGTTGTTTACTAAAGCCCACAATTGTTCACAGGAAACTTTTAAATTAACTGACTGGCCAATTTCAAACAGTCTTAAGTGTAATAAGTTGAAGAAACGGTAATGAGCTTTCGGTCAACAAAATTTTGGTCAGAAGCAACGACCAACAACGCCTCTTGAAAAACATTCAAATTTCTGACCTCACCAGATGCAAGGCATAATTCCTTTCGACGGTATCTGTTGCTTTGTGACTGGTTCTGATGTATCCCCCCAATTCGGCTAGAAACTTCTCTTGTCAGCTTAAAATCGGACTGCAAACGTAGCAGTTCCTTATTATTTCGATGAAAATCTACTCTCAGCAGGCTAATCGGACTCCTATATTTTGTTTCAGCCTGTCCTTAGATTTCAATTTTATCATCTATGTCGCAACTGCAGGCAATTCTTTTGATTAGGTAGCGGTTTGCTTGTCTATAGCGTCCTTTATAAGGATTCGAAACTTTAAATTGGAATCACTAGCTAGCTAAAAGGCCAGGCAGTAACTATCTCAAACAACTTATTATCTTTTGCGGATCTCGACGGTAGTCTTGTGGCTGTAATTGAATTTGATGTAAGACAGTGGCTTATTAATGGTATCTATCAACACGTAATGATACAAAAATATGGAAAGATTCACAAGTCGCTCGCCAGAATTCTTCAGTAATTCGCAAATAATAATGAAGCCAGAGTAAAACCAATGAAGTTATACTACAATAAATCCGCCAAGAGTTTCAGACGAGCTGGGGATTGAAAACCCATAATTTCTGTATTAAGACTTGACGAATTTTCATGCATGCAAACGACTCCTTTGATAATGCATCGGTTATGAAAATTTCGCCAAGAGAGTTATAGAATTTCGGGCGCCAACTGGGATCTCGCCAAGTGCGTTGGCAAATTACCAATTGTTATTTTATTTGAGTGGATGAAAATCGGTACAAATTAATGTACGGAATCACCGTCTTTTTATCCTTAGTAAATCTCCTGCTTTTGAAGTAGCTATCAGTTGTTGTGACACATTCCCACAGGTAAGGTAGACTGGTTTTTTCTTTTCTGAACGGATATTTATACATACTCTTGTCTTTATACCATATCCAATAAATTTTTGTTGAAGTTAATGCTAACAAAAGAAACTAAAACGTTTGGCCGTTTAAATACAATTTGAATACCTTCCTTACCCTGCGTGCTTTATTCTTAATTTAACCATTGTGGCCGCCCTGAATGTCTTTTATCCTGCTATATACCTTTTGTAGTAAAGATAAATTTTGAAAGCAAAATATTTCTTGATACTCATTTCTCTCTCTTCTTCTTCTTTCACTACTTGTCACTCATTCTTAAAAGGGTTTGATTGCAGCTAAATTTTATACATTTGTCATGTTGTCCTTGTTTTTTTTTTTTTTT